ATTTGAGCATCTCCCCAATTATTGAGGGAATTTTAAGTATTATCTTTAATTAAGTTATTAGTTCGTCTGACAATCAAATTCTGTTCCTCATTTAAAAGTTCGAAGCAAAAGTTAATTTAACTCTTTTTTCGTGAAGCAATTGACGCCGACTTAAAATTTGTCGAAGCATAATAAAGAAAATTAAGTTTTTATAAGTGACTTTAGTCTACAAGATCATTTGTATTTTTCAAACATTATTATTAATTATTCTTATTTTTATTACTATTATTATTAATTTGATAATTATCAAATTAATTTTTTTTTCCAAATTTTATTTCGTCATTGATTTTGTTTTTATTTATTTTTTTATCATTAATTTACTACATAAAGACATTCTTTAATGCAGTGGTTGGTTTTTAATTTTTATAATTCTTTATTTTTCTAATTTGCCGTTACAAATTATTTTTTTTTTTGTAAAATATACGAATGGCGGAGACAAGAAAAAGATAAAAATAGTCTTATTGCCAAGCCCCTAAATATCCGTACATAAAAAAGTCATTAAAAACTTGTCATTAAAAACTGATGTTTATGTGTCTTACTGAAGTTTGAGTTTAATAAGTTTATTTTAGTTGACAATTAATGTAATTATGAAAAACCAATGATTTTGATTAATAAACGTACTTTTGGTAAATAAAACATACTTAAGTGCCAAACTTAAGTATGTTCTTGTTTATATCACATTAGAATGTTTTGGAAAATGTTGAAACAACCACCTTATTTGGTTTGCGTGTAATCTTTATATAGCCATAACTATTGAATTATGACTTTTCAAACCTGTCGACTAAAATTTAGTATAAGAAAATAAAAAATAAAAGTTACTAATTTGTTGCCCTCACATTTGGGGTAGGGATGGTAAATGTTTTAGGATAATATTTAAATAAATCGTTGCTTAGCTACAACTCGGGTTATACGTATATTACACAGTGGCGTAACAAAGTATTAATAGTCAGTAGACATACATGGCCAAGGTACCCTATTTCTGTTTCTCTAGAACAATAACTTTTAAAAAAAAATAAAAAAACTCATTTAAATGTATTTAATGCTCCTGAACATTGCGGCTCTAGGTTCAGTTGTTGTGGGACCGTAAGTTTTGCTTATACTGGCTTTGCGGTAATAAGGCCACTGATACTTCACAGAGGTAAAGATATTTACGCGAAAAGTTCTCAATTTTTCATGCCCATATAAAAATACCAGAATATCATTTGACTCTAAAAGTCAAATGATATTCTCCAGAATATCATTTGACTTTTAGAGTCAAATGATGTTCTGGAGCAGGTGGATTTTTTTCGTATCAAAGTGGCAAAAAATCTTTACTAAAATAAAGCGTTCTTGTAATATGTTCGGGGTTCCTTATTCTTCAGGGCATGGTGTTATAGCACCCATAAATCAGGACAGGTTTAAACTTTCTCTCCTTAGCTTTTAAATAGTAAATACATTTTACGCAAAAAACTTGTAAAAAAGAACTAACAATTATGCCAATTATTTTCCTTTCAAATAAACTACCTTTTTGATTCTCCTATGGTTATATGCGCCTTCTGCTAACTGCCTTGTTGTTTCAGCTTTGTCTAAATTCCAGACAATTATTTTTCTTTCAATTGGCTGGCCGAAGAGTGAAAATTTTTGAAACGGTTTGATTGAGAGAATAGCGACTTTACGATATCGAAACGCCAACTGCAAGGAGAACGTAAAAGTTATGATTTTATAAGTCGTCGCTGTCGTAGCCGTTTTTTATAAAATATCGTTACGAAAGTTACTATGAAAACGTCGCGGTACAAAAAGCCTTTATATAGTTCTGTATATTTTTCTGTATGATTTTTTGTACAATTATGTTTATAATTTTAAAGTAAGAAACCAATGTACTTTGTACAATGTACACTGTCAAAAATTATATTATTAATATACATTACCAGTTACTAAATTAATAATAGCCATATATTTATATGGTTATTATTAATAATTAATAATTATTTATTATTGATTTAAATTGTTTTTAATTGATAATTATTATTAATATGTTTATATAAACATATTAACAATAATTATTAATTAAAAACAACTTTAATCAATAACCACGCAAACATCACTTAATACTCTGAAGCTCTTACCATTGAATTACACACACACAGCTGATATATCAGCTTATATCGATATAAAATTTCACCACAAAAAACAAAAACAAAATAACTTAGTGACAAAGTTTATTGCAAAAAAATGTTAACGTTTTCATAATCATTTCACGTTTTTAACAGCCTAGAACTTTGAAACGCGAATTGGGACTTACCCTAAGCTTGCACATGCGCATTAGCAATTTTTTGTGTTAGAACGTTGCGGTTGCAGTTGCCGTTTTGATTTCGTAAAGTCGCTAATGGTTGTTATAGTTAAAACTTGGAGAGGGTTTTAATCATTAACAGAAACCTATTACCCAGTGGGCACGGACGTAAAAAACACGTCTTTTAAACGTCTTAAGGCGAGTTTCCACTCATCCGTTTTTTTACGGGAACGGGAAAGGGACGGGAAAAATAATCACGTGGGCATGCGTAGTATAAGTTTTAATATGTCCGAAGGAAAACTACGCATGCTCACGTGATTATTTTTTTCTTTCCTATCCCGTTCCCGTGAAAAAACGGATGAGTGGAAACTCACCTTTATATACGTTTTGGACGTTTTGGTAACATATTACTTTCATGTAATTTATTTTTATAGGCAAGTTATTTTTTAATTAGTTACTTTTATAGGTTAATGCAAACTATAGTTCGAGGAACTTATATTATGTAATGTAATTTTCAAAAGTAATTAACTTTTAAATGTAAATGTAAACAGCTATTTCATGTGACTTATTTTTACGTGTTAAAGTAAATTTTTTTTTAATCTAATCTTCTTTTACATAACTTACTTTGAAAGTAAAAAAAATTACAATAAAAAGTCAAATTCGTTTCAAAAAAACTTAATTACTTATACGAAATGTAAACTAACATTAAACATTGAAAATTACTTATGTAATTTACTTTTTCAAAAAAATTAATTTAGCGTGTAAATAAAAAAAAGTTAGTAAAAGAACCTTACCTACACGCTACCCCAATCATCGGATAAGTTTATTGTTAAAATGTTGGAACATTTCAATAAACAAAAAAAGTTAACAGTTTTTAAAATTTCCAATTATATTGCTGACAATACTTTTCTTTTTTTTTTCTTTTTTTTAATTTTATTTAGGTGCTCCAAGAAGTCGAGAAGAAGTTTAGGTGCTCCAAGAAGTAACAGTCTTTTCACAAAGCACCGCGGATGAGGATTTAATTGGAAGTTCACACCTCCTTCCTTACTGATGTCGTAAAACTTGCCAAGAGATAAAGTTTAAACCATAACTTTATTTGAATCTATTAATACTTTATAAACCTCTTTAAAATCGTAGAACATAATTTAAAACCGTGGTGTATAATTTAAAACTATGGTGCATAATTTAAAACTATGGTGCATAATTATAAGCTCGCGATCAAAATCGCAATCAAAAGCCATTGAAAAATAGCAGACAACTCCGTTTTAAAGTTAAGTTCGATCAACCAAATACTAATTAACAAATGCCAAATGGAATTATATCCCGACGGTGAAAAAAGCAATAAGTCTACTGGTCATCCCTACCGGCTCATCTAGTTTCTTTTTCGGAATTAAAACCTGTATAGCCACGTATTTGTCACAATCCAGGCGTAAACCAAAAACACGTGTATATTACGGGCAGTTTTACTCGAGTTTAACACGTGTTTTTTGAGGTTTTAAAGTAAAATTTAAATGTCACAAGCTTTTATTAGTGGTTTTAGATTCCTTACGGAAAGTTATTATAATATAATACTACGTTTCCATAACGGTGAAACCATTAATATTTTAACTGGTATTTATGGTAAATAGAAATAGTTAATTTCACGGAATAAAAACCATTTTATGACACGTATTATTCTTTTTGTTTTAGAAGGTTTTAAAAACGCAATAAAAACTAAGCGTAACTATTTTCTGAGTTGTTCCGGCTGGGATTGCACTTATCAAACTAGACTATTGCATGTAAACCGCAACGCTCGCCGCTTTAAATAATTACTTAGCACTTCAATAATTTTGTAAATAATCTGACAGGTTATTGCACGAAGCATTGAGGTGGTAAAATACTAGTGCTTACAGTTTGCCAACAACAACGAACTGTCAGGGCAAGGTACGTTTTTTAAACTTTTTTTGGACGTTTTTATAAGACTTAAACCTTATTAAAACGTTCAAAGAACGTTTTAAAAACGTATTATGCTTACTGAGTTTTTTTTGCAAAATAAATTGGCATTGATTAAATTAAAATTGTACAATTAAGAAGTTAGGCGTTGTAAAATATACAAATAAACTTAAATTTACAATGCCATGGTTATTAACCATAAAAAAAGATCAGAACACTTAACATAGTTCATTACTATTTCTAGTTTGTATAAATTACATAACTTACATAAATAACGTAGTTAGTATAATGTACTATAGAATGTACTGAAAGTTAATCGACGTGCAATACAAATTATTATTTCTTCAAAAAAAAAAAAACTTTTCACTTGATTTTATTCTTTACTTAACTACAACATAATAATGTTGTAGTTAAGTAAAGAATTAACTATACTACAACATTATTAATTTTTTTAAATGTTCTGAGTAATTGATATAGTACGTCTAGTAAAGCAAGTTCTAAAATATTTTATATATATATATTGTTATATATATATATATATTGTTATATATATATATTGTTATATATATATATATATATATATATATATATATATATATATATATATATATATACATATATATATATATATATATATATATATATATATATATATATATATATATATATATATATATATATATATATATATATATATATATATATTTAATAATAAAATAACAATAATATATTTTTAATTATTATAATTTTAAAACGCTTTTTCACTAATAATTTTTAAAATAAATTCAAGTAATGTAAAATTTAACTAGTAGAGTAAAAAAAAAAGTTTTTAAAGTTTTTTTACAGTACAGACGTTGACCTGCTATCAGATGTAGATTCTTGGGCTGGTCTTACTTTAAGGTTGTTATTTGAAAATAATGAATTTATTTTGAAACCGAATAATTTGGAAACTTTTCTGTTTCTAAATGTATAAGTCAATGCGTTAATCCAGGGACTAATCTCTCTAACAGCTATGGTCCACATAAATACCCGATGCGCTGCAGGTATCAGAGAAACAAAATTTTTTGAGAAAACAAATGACAAATAATACTGCGCTACCAAGCATGGTGCGTAAAACACAACATGTGTAAGTGATATTATTACTACGGTTTTTGTTATATAGTTTTTTATTTCAGTGTTTTTCTGAGCTCGAATAGAACTACTTTTTAATTTTTTGTTTGTTTGAATAAGCATTATAAGATTAGTAAAAACAATCATAAAAAGTGAAGCCAGCGTTACAAAACCAGTCCCAATAAATAGTATATACTGTAGATGCAAGCTTGATTTAACATTCACTACACTGTACAAAACAGCAGTATTAAACGTTAAAATAATAACAAATGAAAGGTATCCAAATAAATAGGAATCTTTAATTATAACTCCACATATCTTGTTATTATAAAATACAGTAACATAACGCTCACAAGAAATTATTATAAAAATTGAGCTTGATAAGCCTAACAACCAAACTCGAAAAAATATTATAATAGATATCTCTAAGCAACCAATATTATCAATCTGTTTGAGTAATATAGTCTGAGATGACGCAACTATCAGAACATTTAATATATCTGTTATAGATAGTACAATAACAAGCTTCTCGTTTCGAGTGTACTTTTTTTTTTGGGTTGTAAAATGCAAGCCTGAAATCAAGAAACCATTTGTTGCGACTGTAAATACAGCGTTAAACATATAACATGAAATTAAAAAAATGCTGTTAGTATATTCCACCGAATCTCTATATTGATATTGACATAGTGCACTATTGTTACTCAACATACTTCTTTCCTATAAAAAAAAAATTGAACTAAGTGTATGTTATGATAATTATTAAATATCAAAAATTTAAACTTAATTATTTTTTAATTAAATTTTTAGATTATATAGGACCATATGTTTTATAGACAAAGAAAATATAAAAAGATCTAGTTAGTACCCAATAAGCTTTTTTAAATCTCAAATATTGAATGCGAAATTCAGTGGAAAATAGAGGCTCTCAAGGAGAGGTTCTATTTCCTTTTCTCTCTCTCTCTCTCTCTCTATATATATATATATATACATATATATATATATATATATATATATATATATATATATATATATATATATATATATATATATATATATATATATATATATATATATATATATATATATATATATATATATATATATATATATATATATATGAAATGATGATGCTAGGTTTAGCAAGAAAAAAAAAATTGATTATGACAAGTTAACGATATAATAATAAATGCGCTGGTATTGATTACACTTTCAAACCATAAGAACTTGAATGATGAAGCCAAAAAAAATGATTTAGTGAAAAATATACTTTTGTCAAAGTTGAAATACGCGCAGATTTCTAACTTGGCGCTTTAACCGGTTCTACAATTCAAACAATAACGTTTTGTAAAAACATGTTAATATAAGTAACACATGCACACACATACACATATACACGTGCGCGTATGTGTGTGTGTTTATATTTATACGTAGATAATAGCTTTCACCATTTCGGGGATATTTTTTTAATTTTTAAGGATCCTCATTTGATTTTGATGAGCGCATAGAGAAAAGTAAATAAGCCTTGTTAAATAATATTATAACTGTTTCCGCCAGTATTTGTAATTTAAAGACTTTTTCTGAATTTTTTTTGTTTTAAATAATCAGTGATTGCGGATGTGGAGGGGAGGTAGGGTGAGAGGTCTTGAGACTTCAATTTTCCCTAATTTTCTAAAACAAAATACAACATACAACCAGTGGCGAATTCGGTCATACTGAGGCAGACAGCGTTGCAATCAAGTGGACCTTTAAACTAAATTTTTACAAAGAATCAAATAGATTTCCTGAATCAAGGTGATAACAAAAAAAGCTCTATTTTGCGTCCCATGAAACTGCTTAGCCCGCGTACTCTAAAATTTGCCAGTTCATATAACTCATAAAATGTAGAAATATATTTAAAGTTTGTGTTGATCCTACCAAAGCTCAACGGCCGTGGCACAGTGATCTACTCAACTTTAAGTTTTAAGTAAAAATCATACAGATGAAAGTCAAACCGCATACGTGTTTGTTTTCTTAAACACCTTTTTTCCCCTTTGTACGCACTACTAGGCATTTTGATGACTTATCTCCCGCATACCTGCATTCTTACTTTATGTAAATCTTTCAATTTTTTTTACTTATTGTAAAATCTTTTATCTTTCAATTTTTTTTACTTATTATAATTACTGATATAATCATTGTTATTGTCATTATTATATTTAATAGTATTATTGGTATTATTATAATCGTCTTCGTTTAATTTACATTATTATTATTGTTATTATTGCTATTATTATTATTATTATTATAATTACTGATATAATCATTGTTATTGTCATTATTATATTTAATAGTATTATTGGTATTATTATAATCGTCTTCGTTTAATTTACATTATTATTATTGTTATTATTGCTATTATTATTATTATTATTATAATTACTGATATAATCATTGTTATTGTCATTATTATATTTAATAGTATTATTGGTATTATTATAATCGTCTTCGTTTAATTTACATTATTATTATTGTTATTATTGCTATTATTATTATTATTATTATAATTACTGATATAATCATTGTTATTGTCATTATTATATTTAATAGTATTATTGGTATTATTATAATTGTCTTCGTTTAATTTACATTATTACTATTATTATTATTGCTATTATTATTATTGCTTTTATCATTATTATTATTATTATTATATGGTTGCTATTATTATTTAATTGGTGTTTACCTTTGATTAGTACTCGTACTATTAGTAAACTACCATGAAATGTAAACTATTATTTCAGAATATATTGTTATTGTTGTTGTTGTTGTTGTTTTATTGTTGTTATTGAAAATAAAATACATTTCCTTGGTGTTTTATTTGATGAAAATCTCACGTGGAAAAATTATACCAAAACTTTGTGCAACTAAATTTTAAGAAATATTGAAGTATTGTATAAAGCAAGAAATTTTTTGAATAGACAAGTATTAAATTTTTTAAATAGACACGCAATAGTCATAAAACTAAAAAAAAACAATAATTGTTTTTTTAGCACTACTCCTTGCAATATTTACATAGAATACATAGCATTGAATAAATGAGTAATAAAGATATTACTCATTTATTAAAAAAACATTTAAATCCTTTTTATCGGCAACAGAATCATCAACCACGCCTAATAAACTTTAAAGATCGTTATGTCAGACCTTTTTTATTGGAAATGGATGTTCCTCATATACATCAGCTAAATGTTTTTAATGTTCTTTGCTTTATGTCTATATCCTTTCGAAGTTTATATGCAATAAAACCCAAAAATAAATATAACTTAATGAAATTACAATCTTTTTTTTTTTTTTTTGCTTTGTAAACATATACAATCCGTATGTTACTAACAAGATATAGCAGGAGTGAGAAGAAAATTAATATGTTTTATCGCCATGCTATTCATCAACATTATTCGCATACAAATTTGGAAGATTTCTTATATCGTATCGCAGAGCGTTTCTGTGGAACCAAATAGTTGTAAAAAATTTTGATTTTTCTCAAAGTTGGGATTTTCCTTCTTTCAAAAATAAGCTGAAAAAATATATTTTGTTAGTTGATAATAAATTTGAGTTCTTTTGAACTCGATCCTTATTTATGATCCGTATTGTGTGATTCCTTAATGTGATATTTAAAATGTTTGATTTTATATACATCTTTTACATTGATGAATGGTATTTGTATTTAAAATGTTTCAAGTTTTTTAATATTTATGTTAAACTGTATTATTTTGTTAACGGTATTATTGTTAGCGGTATATTATTGTGTTTTTTAACTACTTGGTTATATATTTATTATATTGTTAAACGGTTTTCGATGACAGGATCTTGCAATCCTTTTTCAGTTTCTGAATTTTCCGTGTACAATAGCATTTTTCAGAATATAAGAATAAACAAAAATAAGAATAGTAAGAACAAACAAACAAAAAAGTAAACAATACACAGCATTTAAGTTATATATGTGTTACCTAAAAATATAATCAGTCTTATAAGTATTCTACATGATGAGTAAAAATGTTTAAAAATTCACCATATATTTTTTAGTACTGACTGAATGTTTTTCTCTATGTTCCGCTATTGACAGAAGTTTCAACACTTCATTTACACGAGTACTCTCGGGTGCTTAATACAAAGGTGGGTAGGAATAAATGGGGACTAGGTGGAAATTTCTGTCTAGATTTAATAAAAGAGTGGGGGGGGGGGAGGGAGGAGTGAAAGAATGGAAATTTTTTAACAGTGCAAAAATAAACTTTAATTCTTGTGTGGCTTGCAGTAGAATGCGCAATTTTTAACAGCTGTTTCATGGATTTATTATGTTTATATAATTTTTAACCTATAGCGACAAATTGAATATTTTTGACAAATTCACAAGATTTTTTATCGAAGTCTGATTATACTAAATGGTTTTGGTAGTAGGAAAAAATCCCTCGGAAAAAAATATCCCTTATAAAATTCCCCGCGAAAAAAACCCCACAAATATAAAATCACCCCGTAAAAAATCCCCTATGATTTTTTTTACAGCGCATGAAATAAACAATATATCAATACAATATATGTTTATGGTATAAATATTTCATACATATACATTATGTTACAAGTGCAACCTTAATATCTCATTTTTCCTAAATTGACTGACAAATAGGTAGAACATACAAGGAGTGTACACACATCGACTGACAAATAAGTAAAACATACAAGAAGTGTACATACCCTGACTGAAAAATAAGTGGAACATGCAAGGAGTGGTGCTACAATGACTGAGGGTTTTGGTTTAGGTAGGCAATTAATCAATTTCAAAAAAAGTTTAAAAAATACTTTTTTTTTAGCGGGGGATTTTTTTCCTTGCTGTTTTTTTTTTTCTCATGGGGGATTTTTTCGGGGGAATTTTTCCTAGAAACAAAGTTTTTATTCATACCAGTGAATATATTCGAATAATTTCTGAAAAACAATAAACATCCAATCCTGGGTATCAAGCACCTAAGATTTGTTTTAAAATAGTCTTAGACCATTTTCGGCAGGGTCATTACATGTAGTTTATAAATCCAATCCTTAAATTTTCAACAAGAACTAAACTTTTTCTGTTTTATAAATTCTTCAAAAAGGTTTCGAGATATGAGTTGGTTCAAAAAAAACCAACTCATATCTCCTACAGATAAAATTTTTTATATTGCTCTGGACCTTTGAGCTTGTCAATATCTTTTTGGGAGTCAGAGTTAAACAACTTTTTAGCAAGACTTTCTCTTACTTTAGAGAAAATAACTGCTGGTAATGGTACCAAGGATGCTGTTAAACAATGTAATTCATGGTTTGAGAATATCAGGTCTTTTTATAATATTCCATATCGCTGATTGCTTGTAAATCAATCTTCGAGCCGTATACGCAAAATGAACAGAATGATATCAAAACCTTCTCAAGCTATGATATACCCTATTTGTATAAACACCAACATAACTGTTTATTAGGGTGTCCTAAAAAAATTAAATTTATTTGCACGCATGTTTTTCCCATTCCTTTTTGTCTACTGAGTTCATATGTATGACTAAAATTATTTTTTTAGGTCAATTTCAGCTATATGTAAAATCTCAATTTCTTCATTTTTGATAAAATTTGACATTTTATAACACTATTTTAGATACGGACCTAGTAATTTTACATTATTAATGCCCCTTGCCCTAGAGGATTTGAAAAACTAATGATTT